GTCAAGGGCAATAACTCAAAAACCGTTCATCAAAAATGCTAATTAGAAGTTGTCCGAGATCTTATGAATTCCAAAGATCACACCAAGTTTCATCAGAATCGGTTGAAAACTGTAGCTTCAATCCTGCTCACGAACTATTTTTAACAAATTTCAACACGTTTTAACGAAGTCTAGGGCAATAACTCAAAAACTGTTCATCGAAAATGCGTCAAGTTAAAACTTGTCCGAGATCTTATCAATTCCAATGATCACACTAAGTTTCTTCAAAATCGGTTGAAAAGTGTAGCTTCAATCCTGCTCACGAACTATTTCTAACAAATTTCGACGCGATTTAACAAAGTCAAGGGCAATAACTCAAAAACCTTTCATCGAAAATGCTTCATGTTAGAACTTGTTCGAGATCATATCAATTCCAATGATCACACCAAGTTTCATCAGAATCGGTTGAAAACTGTAGCGTCAATCCTGCTCACGAACTATTTCTAACAAATTTCGACGCGATTTAACAAAGTCAAGGGCAATAACTCAAAAACCTTTCATCGAAAATGCTTCATGTTAGAACTTGTTCGAGATCATATCAATTCCAATGATCACACCAAGTTTCATCAGAATCGGTTGAAAACTGTAGCGTCAATCCTGCTCACGAACTATTTCTAACAAATTTTGACGCATTTTAACAAAGTCAAGGGCAATAACTCAAAAACCGTTCATCGAAAATGCGTGAAGTTAGAACTTGTCCGAGATCTTATGAATTCCAATGATCACACCAAGTTTCATCAGAATCGGATGAAAACTGTAGTTTCAATCCTGCTCACGAACAACTTTTAACAAATTTCAAGGCGTTCTAAGTCAAGGGCAATATCTCAAAAATAATGTCAAATTCAAACTTGACCGAGATCTTATCAATCTAAAGCATCACACCGAGTTTTATCAAAATCAGATAAAAACTGTAGTCTCTAGTGCATTTAACAATTATGAGTACGATATATAGACACAGCTTTATGGAACAACAATCACTGGTTAAAGTTTTATGCCATGAGTTTTCTCTTGTCATAATATAACCTTATTCTAAATAATATAATTACCCAACCTATCACCCCTGTAAACTATAACATCATAATAGACTATTCCATGTAACCTTATATATAGACATGCACTGTTCTTAACATCCAACACCACAACCAAATAATACCATTTGTTGCAACCTTTAATCATACAGCTGTAAAAACTTCATCTGTAGTCAAACAGTATTACAGTGATTTACAGGTTCCCCAATGTATACACCAAACGTCTTGTAATTGTCTGCAAGTGCAATAAAAACCTAAGCAACTTCCTAGTCAGTGGTAGACTGGATTAAAGCTAGCAAAGTTTGCTTTGGATCCAAGATAAGTGTCAAATGTAGTCTCTTCAAAAGCCAATTAAATATTTAACCATGTCTTTGATATCTCTAAGCTAGCATTTAAAAGTCTCAATGATATGTATAGATTTTGGTATTGATATGTTGTTTTTAAGCATTAATAAATATTGTTTAAATCTGAATCTCTACTATTTTTACTGTCAAAAACAAGGGCAAAAACTCATACTAATTATTTTTCGATTTTTTGGATTTTCATTAGGGATCATCCTTGGGTGATAGCAAACACTCACATTAAGTTACATCAAAATCCATCAAGAATTGCACCTTCTAGAGTGATTATGAGCATTTCAAGAACAAGGGCAATAACTCATACTAAATATTTTTCGATTTTTCTGATTTTCAATAGGGTTCATCCTTGGGTGATTACAAACAATCATACTAAGTTTCATCAAAATCAGTCCAGAATTGTGCCTTCTAGAGTGTTTACGAGCAATTACAGACGGCAAACATGGGTGACAGCAAAATACGCCGCCCATTTCTTGTTAGCGTATAAAAATCAAAATATTACCAACAGATACACACAAACCAAGTTTCATCAAGATCGATTAAAGATTTCTATTATGTCTACAAGCTAATTTGACTTGTAAAAAATTGTAGCCTCTATCGTTCTTACAAGCATACATGTGTAGTCTACCAATGTTGTCCACCGCTCTACCGACGAGATACCCAATTCTACTGAAACTTTGTTTTTTTCCTAACCAAATTTTCACGGGAACTACCGATATCAATGTCCAAATTCTCTACCATAAATCAACAAGATAGCTTGCGTTACAAGATAACATACGCCCACTGGCAGCTGTCAGAAATAATAAAACAGTCTTTAGTGACTAAAGTACGAATTTTCTCATATTGAAGAAATTATTTATGCTGAATAATTCCACAAAATATTTTAAAATCATAATCAATAACCCAAATACAACAAACAATTAAATCACACAGCTCTAATCAAGGGCAAAAAACAACTTTTGACGCGTTTTTCGTAAGTTAATGGCATTAACTCAAAAACATTTCATAGAAAATGCGTCAAGTTAGAACTTGCCCGAGATCTTATCAATTTCAATGATCACACCAAGTTTCATCAGAATCGGATGAAAACTGTAGCTTCTATTGTGCTCACAAACAAATTTTGACGCGTTTATCGTAAGCTAATGGCATTAACTCAAAGATAGCTTGCCAGGCAAGGTAACATACGCCCACTGGCAGCTGTCAGAAATGATTAAACAGTCTTTAGTGACTACAGGGTTGCACAATATAGCTAATAGAGTGAAACGTCAAGTCAGACACGATATTTCGGTAAAATATTATCCGATCATCGCAAAAATCGATAGGGATCATCTTCATAATAACATTGACATACAATCTGTAAAGAATTGTAGCCTGTAGAGTGAGCACGAGTTGCACAATATAGCTAATAGAGTAAAACGTCAATATTTCGGTGAAAAATTATCCTATCAAATAGATCATCATGAAAATCAATAGGGATCATCTTCATAATGACATTGACACACAAAATAAAAATCAAAAGAATCTGTAAAAAATTGTAGCCTGTGGAGTGAGCACGAGTTGCACAATATAGCTAATAGAGAAAAACGTCAGGTCAGACACGATATTTCGGTGAAAAATTATCCGATCATCACGAAAATCAATAGGGATCATCTTCATAATGACATTGACACACAAAATAAAAATCAAAAGAATCTGTAAAAAATTGTAGCCTGTGGAGTGAGCACGAGTTGCACAATATAGCTAATAGAGAAAAACGTCAGGTCAGACACGATATTTCGGTGAAAAATTATCCGATCATCACGAAAATCAATAGGGATCATCTTCATAATGACATTGACACACAAAATAAAGATAGCTTGCCAGGCAAGGTAACATACGCCCACTGGCAGCTGTCAGAAATGATTAAACAGTCTTTAGTGACTACAGGGTTGGACAATATAGCTAATAGAGTGAAACGTCAAGTCAGACACGATATTTCGGTGAAATATTATCCAATCATCGCGAAAATCGATAGGGATCATCTTGATAATGACATTGACATACAAAATAAAAATCAAAAGAATCTGTAAACAATTGTAGCCTGTAGAGTGAGCACGAGTTGCACAATATAGCTAACAGAGTAAAACGTCAGGTCAGACACGATATTTCGGTGAAAAATTATCCGCTCATCATGAAAATCGATAGATCATCATGAAATTCAATAGGGATCATCTTCATGACGACATAGACATACAAAATAAAAATCAAAAGAATCTGTAAAAAATTGTAGCCTGTAGAGTGAGCACGAGTTGCACAATATAGCTAATAGAGAAAAACGTCGAGTCAGACACGATATTTCGGTGAAAAATTATCCGATCATAACGAAAATCAATAGGGATCATCTTCATAATGACATTGACACACAAAATAAAAATCAAAAGAATCCATAAAGAACTGTAGCCTGTAGAGTGAGCACGAGCCAAATGTGAACGGACGGACGGACCGACGGGGTGATTACAATATACGCCAATCTTACGTGTGGGCGTATAAAAATCAAAAGAATCCATAAAGAACTGTAGCCTGTAGAGTAAGCACGAGCCAAATGTGAACGGACGGAACGACGGGTGATTACAATATACGCCCATCTTACGTGTGGGCGTATAGAAACATTTTATTGAAAATGCGTCAAGTTAGAACTTGTCCGAGATCTTATCAATTTCAATGATCACACCAAGTTTCATCAGAATTTTGAACAAATTTCAAGGCGTTCTAAGTCAAGGGCAATATCTCAAAAACCGTTCATCGAAAATATGTCAAATTCGAACTTGACCGAGATCTTATCAATCTAAAGCATCACACCAAGTTTCATCAAAATCAGATAAAAACTGTAGTCTCTATAGTGCTCACAAGAAATGTTGACGGACGGACGGACGAATGCAAGTCGAATGATACTGTCTAATAGTCGAATGGTAAAAATCACCATTCATGTGAACACTATATTCTGTAGTCATTAATAAATGAGAGTTCACATCATCCGTGTATTAGTATTATGTGTTTTGATTGAAGTATAGCATCTTAGTCTTAAAGGGGTTGATTGGGACGGAGGAGACACAAATATTTTCAGATATTTCTGATTTTCTATAGGGGTTTATCTTTGGGTGATTACAAACACTCACTCAAAATTTCATCAAATTCTGTCACGAATTGTGCTTTGTAGAGTGTTTACGAGCTAAAAATTGAATGTCTTTTCAAGAACAAGGGCAATAACTAATTTTTCCTTATTTTCAATAGGGTCATCCTTACAAACACTCATGCCAAGTTTTGTTAAAACAATTGTTCTAGAGTGTTTACGAGCTAAAGTTAAATGCTTTTTCAAGTACAAGGGCAGTAACTATTATCAAATATTTTTCGATTTTTCTGATTTTCATTAGAGTTTATTCTTTATGATTACAAACACTCAAACCAAGTTTCATCAAAATCCATCCAGAACTGTGCCTTCTAGAGTGTTTATGAGCAATTGTGGACAGGCAGACAGACAAGGGTGACCCCAATATATGCCTCTTAAATTATGTGGGCATATCAAAATATATATACTGACCTAGTCAATGTTTTTAATTTACTCTCAATACTCCTGTGTCTCATACACAATCTTGTCAGAGCACTTCCTACTTCTTTGGTAGCACCTGAAGTTATAGATGTTTAGAAAGTTTAATACATTTCCAGCATGAGAATTCAACCTAGATATATTGGAACAAACTTATTTTTCATGCCTCAGGGCCACAAAACCTTATTCAATAACTGATTTAATAACACGACAGTAAGCTTACTGTTCTGGGTTTATAACAAATGTTCATAAACATAAACTTGTTGCACAGGTTACTAACTATGCAAATTAGGTCATGTATTCATGAACCATGCAAACAGTACAACATGGCTTTCTTTGAAGTTGATGACTCAATTAAAATTTAAGGTAAAGGGCTTGAAATTGTTTTAAATAAAATAACAACAATTTAGTTATCACATAAACATGTTTATCTAGATCTTATTTGTTATGTGCAAGGAAATTTTTTAGACTGGTGCAAAAAGGTGAACCTCAAAATAAAGGCCTATATACAAAGATAGCTTACCAGGTAAGGCTATATATGCCCATTGGCAGCTTTGATTTAAAAAGATAGCTTGCCAGGCAAGGTAATATACGCCCACTGGCAGCTTTGATTTTAAATAAAAACATTTGGCAGTACAGTAACAATTACCAGTATGAAATATTCAACCTTCAGTAATACACTTCTTTTGAACTTTTTGAGGCGATACTGGATAATATTACCAAGTTTCATCAAAATCTGTCAAGAACTGTGCCTTCTGGAGTGTTTACGAGCTAAAAATTGAACGCGTTTTCAAGAACAAGGGCAATAACTCATACTAAATAGTTTTCGATTTTTCGGATTTTCAATAGAGTTTATCCTTTGGTGATAACAATCACTCATGCCAAGTTTTGTCAATATCTGTCAAGAATTGTCCCTTCTGGAGTGTTTAGGAGCTATAAATTAAACACTAGATCAAGGGCAATAACGCATACTAAATATTTTTCGATTTTTCTGATTTTCAATAGGGTTTATCCTTGGGTGATAACAAACACTCATGCAAAGTTTCGTCAAAATCTGTCAAGAATTGTCTCTTCTAGAGTGTTAACGAGCTAAAAATTGAACACGTTTTCAAGAACAATGTCAATAACTCATGCTAAATATTTTTCGATTCATCTGATTTTCAAAAGGGGTTCATCTTTGGGTAATTACAAACACTCATGCCAAGTTTCGTTTATATCCATCAAGAATTGTGTCTTGTAGGGTGTTTACGAGCAATTGTGGACGGACGGACGGACATGGGTGACGGCAAATACGCCCCCCATTTTATGTGGGGTATAAAAATAGAATGCATATAAAAACAAGGGCAATAACTCAACCGAACTGAAGTTAGACAAGTAGAACTTTAAATTCTAATGTCTACATTTTGAGACTAGTTCGAAAATGTTTGTTTAAAGACGTGTGCTTAGGGGCATTAATGATGGAAAACTTTCCAGTTAAGGTGCGGGTAAACGAGCAGTCTTGGTCATAGATTTTTGTCGCCGATTAGAGTCTTGAGTAAAATCTTGCGTGTACGCGTATTTCAGTGACAAGATTATCACATCCCCCAACAGGATTTATAGTATCAAATAAGTTTGATAATTGTCTCCAATAGTTTTATCCTGTTCAACACTGACTATAATCATCTTCCTTTCAACTACATGCTCTGCATCATCGTATCACAAATATGGGTTTTGACATGGTCTTATTTACCCGTATGGAACTAAGCCCACTACACTTTGTTTTTGGGGTGTGGAAAAGATTGGTGACATTCAAATCTTACCAATCAGATTGGTAGAACAGAAATGAGGTTTTGCCGCCGCTCGTTTAAAGAGATAAATAATAATTCCACAAAATTTTTTAAAATCAATATTAATAACCCAAATACAACAAACAATTAAATCACACAGCTCTAATCAAGGGCAAAAAACAACTTTTGACACGTGTTTACAAAGTCAAGGGCAATAACTCAAAAAATGTTCATCAAAAATATCTCAAGTTATAGCTCCTTCGAGATCTTATCAATTCCAGTGATCACACCAAGTTTCATCAGAATCGGTTGAAAACTGTAGTTTCTATTGTGCTCACAAACAAATTTTGACACGTTTTTCATAAGTCAAGGGCAATAACTCAAAAACCGTTCATCGAAAATGCATCAAGTTAGAACTTGTCCGAGATCTTATCAATTCCATTGATCACACCAATTTTCATCAAAATCGGTTGAAAACTGTAGCTTCTATTGTGCTCACAAACAAATTTTGACACGTTTTTCATAAGTCAAGGGCAATAACTCAAAAACCGTTCATCGAAAATGCATCAAGTTAAAACTTGTCCGAGATCTTATCAATTCCATTGATCACACCAATTTTCATCAAAATCGGTTGAAAACTGTAGCTTCTATTGTGCTCACAAACAAATTTTGAAGCGTTTTACAAAGTCAAGGGCAATAACTAAAAAATAGTTCATCAAAAATATCTCAAGTTAGAACTTGTCCGAGATCTTATCAATTCCAATGATCATAAAAAGTTTGATCAAATTTGGTTGAAAACTGTAGCTTCTATAGTGCTCACAAACACATTTTGAGGCGTTTTTACAAAGGCAAGGGCAGTAACTCAAAAACCGTTCAGCGAAAATGCGTCAAGTTAAAAATTGTTTAAAAAAATAGTTTAATTTTCAGACATGGCAAGGCACATAATTCTCTAACTTGTTTTCATTATTTTGAGCATCTAATTTTCCCAACACATTGAAACAAGTGGTTGCCTAGCAAGATAGGCCTACTTCCATGATAAATTTTCAGTATTTTAAGGCGTTCTCCAATAGGTGTCAAAATCTTACCAAAAATCTAACTTATCCAAGATATTGTTGATTTAAACCAACACAAAATTTCATCAAATTCGGACTGTCACCCCTATCGCATTCAAAAGCCACATTTACCACGATTGTGTATCATACAGAATGAAAAGATAGCTTGCCAGAGAAGGTAACATACACCAACTGGCGGCTGTCAGAAATGATTATCGAGTCATTGGTGATTAAATATGAATTTTCTCATTTATTTTCAAGATCGTTTAAAGATAGCTTGCCAGGCAAGGTAAGATACACCCACTGGCAGCTTTGATTTTGAATAAAGATAGCTTGTGAAGCAAGATAACATACGTGGGTGGGTTTTAAAAGCCAACCGCCTACCGCTACCAACCGGCATACCAGAGTGAAAAAAACGCTCTAAAATGAGCATTGTTAAATTTAAGGATCGTAGATTTTCATACTACAAAACGAAACTATTCCATTTGACAGAATTTTTGTTGACGTCAATATTATGGAATCAAAATTATTTTAAAAATGAAACGAAACAAATTAATATCTCTTTTTTCGCTTTGAGATATTTCCCTTCACATTTTCTGATTCAATTCGTGTTTAAAATAGCAATAATCTCTTTTAAAAATAAAATGGGGCACACAATAAAATGTACAAAAACCTCTAGATTTTTTTTAATGATCACAACGACTGAACAAGGTCGTTTGTTTCAGAGTTACTTCCCTTAACTTTTTACTGTCGTCAGGAACATGGAGCATCAAGGCCTAGGAATCTTTCTTCCACCTAAAAGAATTTTTTCAAAATTAATCCTTGACGTAGACTATACTAATTCTGTGAGCATAGTCTACGTCAAGGATTAATTTTGAAAAAATTCTTATACACTAATATTTAGCAATTTTGAAACCTCTTGGGTAGCTTGTCCTTAAAATGTCTGTGTCTTTGGCCATTTTGTGTAGATTTGGTTGTCGTGGGTCATAGGTGTTAGTCCATGGAATAATCTTCATTACAAGCTACAGAATGATGGACATATTAAAAACAAGTAAAATCATTGTGGCAGGACACAGGAATAAGACCTTGGGAAATTTATTAAGGGAAAACAAATTAAAACAGTGTGTAGAAAATGTGAATATTTCTAAAAGTGTAGGATGTGTACCTTGTAATAAACCCAAGTGCAAAACTTGTGAAAAGATGAACACAACTAACACAATCACCAATAGACACTCAAAATCATTTTTTATCAAAGACTCTTTAAATTGTCAGAGTAATTTTGTTATATATTGCCTTACTTGTGAATTGTGTAAATTTCAGTATGTTGGCCAGACAATAACCCCCTTCAATATTAGACATAACAAACATAGGAGCAAATTTAAATTGAAAAAGGTTCATAAAGCTCCTCATATTGCCCCCCATTTTAACCAACCTGGTTATGATTATAAATGCACACTTCTTGAGAAAATTCCAAATGAAAGCAAAAGCAAATTTGACAGTGCAGAAACTCTGTGGATTCATAGACTTGACTCTGTATGGCCGTATGGATTGAACCCAGGAGGTTTCAATATTGCTAAATATTAGTGTATTCCCCCCTCCCCCTTTTTTTCCCTTCCTGTTTAGATTTTTTGGCAAATCCTGGGCCCTGTTCCACTAACATTCTTACGCTTAAATTTTGTGTAAGTTTATCTTACGAAAGAAAAGAACAAAATTTTCCGTTTCACTAAAAAACTTACGCAAAAAAGTTCGTAAGTTTTTCTTAAACTTACGACAGGGTTTCGGCTGTCGTAAGTTGACGTGACTAATGTAATGTCCATAGCAACGTCAACGTCAAAATGGCAGAACACCTGTTGTTTGGACTGCGTAGGCCGAGAGATTAAGAGTTTTTCATCCAAGGATGAATAATTTGATCCGTTTGGATGATGTGGATTTTAAGAAACGTTATCGGTTAACCAAACGTTGGTTGATGATTTGCGAGAAGATCTCTCTAATTGTGGAAGATCACGCGCAGTTTCGCCAGAAATACAGGTGAGCTAAACATTAATTATGATCTTCTAAGTCTTATTTATAAGTGATACAAGTCTGTGATAATGATTTTTATCATTCTTGGCAAGCTTGATGTGAGCTGATAGACCCCACTGGAAATAAGTTTTTTACTTCTAAAGAAGTGAAATTAGGGTTACAAGGTTGTGAAGAAGTAACACCGCCACAAGGTAGGCCTACTCCGTTGTAGGACGCCATTTTGTAGTCTGGTAATGCTA